AAAGGGGCCCAAGGGGCAGTAGAGGGGAATTGTTAAGATTGTGGAAGAACTTCTGGGTACTGGTTAGGAATTCTGGGTTTGAATCCTGCCTCTCCATCTGCTAGGGTTATGACTTAGGGCAATTCCTTGAGCTTTTTGGACCTCTCCTGTCACATCTGTAAAATAGAGGTGTATTGTCTGACTTCCATTTGTGAGGGTGAAATGAGATTCGTTATCGCTGTTGTGTTTTTGTTAATCCCTAGTACACGGCCTGCTGTAAACACCCAGGACACCCAGGAAAGGGTCCTTGCTGTTTGGTTTTCCTCATCCCCAGTCTCAAGGGGAAGCCAGCCCAATGAGAACAGCCATTTGCTGTCAGGCTGTCCCTTTAAGAGTCACTGAAAGGGCCCCAGGGTGGGATGGTGGGAGATAAGAACCGTGAGAGGAGCTGGCACAGAGGAGTTATGGGACAAAGGGTACGAGAGGCAGAACAGAAAGTGCTGCAAGCTGATGGGTAGGAAAGGAAGTCAGAGGCCTGGACACTGAGGGGACACAACATCTCCATGTGCACTCTCATCTCTTGTAGTCAGCAGCAGGTGGTCCCAAGGAGGGTCCTGCGCCATGTGCCACCATGAAAGATCCAGAGGTAAGAGGTCCTGAGCTGAGGTACAGTGGCCCAGCAGGCCAGCCCTCCACCCTCCTCCCACAGTAGCTGCTGGGTGCCCCTCTGCCAGCAGAGACAGCCCCCACACACCCCAACATTAATGATCATTCTCTCTACCTCTCCCCCGATCCTCCCCCAACTCCTTCTCTCTGCAGGTGCCTCAGAGCGCACAGCAACTACAAATAGCCCTGGACTCGAGCTCCGTCACAACCAGTGAACTGAATAACACCATCGACTTATTGGTAAGAGTCCAGTGGGGCCCGCTGATTCCACGCTGCCAATCCTGGGCTCCAGTTTCCCCTTGGGGCTGCTGTGGATGAGTTGAAGGGCGCTATGGGGAGCCAGCACTGGACGCAGAGCTCAGAGGCCAAATGCCCACCCTGCCCTTACCTGGCTGTGGTCTTGGCCAAGTCCTAGGTGGGGACTGGGTACTTGGAATGTGAAGGTAGAGCAGAGTAGCTTTAGTATGTTACCATTTGTGTAGAGAGAGGAAACGTGTGTGTGTGTGTGTGTGTGTGTGTGTGTGTGTGTATACTATGATAATATACATATTATCATATGTATATTATCATAAGATTTTTAAGGATGTATATTATCATAGGATTTGTCTGCAAGGATTTGTAAAAAACTCAGGAGAAAGCACAGGTGGCTAGGAGATACTTCCTTTCTGTACCTTCTGAGTTTTGGACTATGCGAATGTATCATCCTTTCAAAAAGTGAACAAAAGATTCATTTCCCCCTTCCTGCCTGTGCCCGTACCCCCACCAGGAAAAAAAATGGACTTAGAGGATCCGATGGGCCTGGTTGTTCAAATCCCAGCTCTGTCTAAGTGATCTTAGGCGGCCACCTAACCTCTAATGCTCCATGTTTTCCATCTACACAATAGAGGTAATGGTAGTAACTGCCTCACATCGTGGCTGTGAGGTTAAATGGGATTGTTAGCACACTACCTGGTGACGCACTCAGTAAAGGTTCCAACAGCGGTAGTAATAACAGGAATAACATAGAATATGATCTGATCTCTCTGGGCCTCTGTTAGCCAGCCGTAAAGGTGACCTCTTTCCCTGTGCCTTCCAACTTTACTGAGTTCTTTTAAAATCCAGACCACAGGATTGGAAATGCCTTGATCTTTACTGACCGAGCTATGTATTAAGCCCAGCCCTAGCCCTTTTAAGGGGCACTGTGTGGAATGGCCCGGGCTCTCCAGATTGAAGCTTCTCCCTCTCCACCTTCCAGCCCTCGAGCCGCTGTGGAGCAGTCCTTGAGCAGCAGTTACAGCAGTTTCTGCAGGAGCGGGAACTGCTAAGAGCACAGGTGGCAGAGGTGAGACTTTGTAGAGGGAGAGATGTGGAAGGAAGATGACCCCAGGTGGCCAGAAGCAGATGAGGACCAGTGACAGCCCTTCCTAACTTCTGGGTCCATTCTTGCAGGTGACGGAGTGTCTTAAGAAAGCTCAGCTAGAAAGAGACGCATATGCTCAACAGCTCAAAACAGAGAGGGCGCGGTGGCAGCAGCAATTGCTGAAAATGGCAGGAGAAGTGAGAGCTGACCCTTCAGCCCCCACCTTAGATGGCTCACTGGATCTTCCTGGGCATCTGTAAAATGAGAATAGTCCAGCCAGGGGTGGTCACGGGACTGGGCTTTGTGGAGCTTGGGGCAGAGAGGGAGATGGTAGCCAGTCCAGCCACCAGCCCCTCTCTCCAGGGCCCTTTCCCCCTGTGCTTTGGGCAGATTGAAATATTCAAAATGGAGAAAAGGCAGGATGCAATTAAGATCGAGGAGCTGAAGGGGACCCTTGCCCACCTACAAAACCATCTGGGTAAGATGAGGCTGGCATGACCCAGGAGCAGGACTGGCATCAGAGGGCTGTGGGTGTGGCTCAGAGTGCCCCAGGGAGGTGGGTGGCTGGAAGGGCTTTGAGGCAGAGGGAAAGAGGTCTGTGCCAGGAGACAGCAAGTCTTGTAATCTCCAAGAGCCTCAGTGTCCCCATCAGCAAAGAGTGGGGAGTGCCCATTGTCAGCCACCCACAGTGCTCTGTATGTGAAAGTGGCTTGGAAGACTGGCTACCATTTGAGTGCAAGGAATCATTAGCAGTGAGGCCAGGTTTGAGGAGCCTGAGGGGAGCTATGCACCCAGAAGAGTTTTTTGTTTTGAGAATCCAGAGGTCCTTAATGTCTGCCTCCTTCCTCAGCTGAACCCCCAATCCCGAAGCAACCAGCAGGGCCCTCTGACTTGGAGAAAAACCTGAAAACTGAAACCAAGTACCTGAGAGACGAGCTGCGGGAACAGGAGAGACAGCAGGAGGCGAAAATGCGGCTCCGGGAGCAGGAGGTGAGGCTGAGAGAACAGGAGCAGAGGCTTCTTGAGCAGGAGGGGCTCCAGGAGCAGGAGGAGGAGCTGGTGTGTTGCCCACCTGGGGATGCTGCTCTCCTCCCCAGCCCTCCAGAACTTTGTTTTCCCACCTGTAAAATGGGGGAGTGTATGAAATGAGGCTTCTAAAGGCACCTGTGAGCACAGCCCTGCTCTGATGGCTGTGGGAGAAAGGAGACAATTTGTCTAACCTGCCTCCACCCTTCCCGGTGCCATGGGAGGCAGACACTAAGTTCTGGGGTCTCCAGCTGCAGTGGGTGGCCGCTGATTTCTTCTCTCTGTCCAGAAGAAGGAGAAGAGGAGCGCACTGTATTTGGAGCAGGAAGGAAAGGAGCTTCAGGAGAAGCTTGGCGAACAGGAGACGGTAACCCCTGCCCCATCCAGGAGGGCTGGGAGGCAGGCACCGGCCTCTGGGGAGGGGAGGTGCAAGGCCACAGGCAGCTCCACCCTGGGGGCAGGTGACCCCACACCCTCCAGGGCAGTCCTGTGACCGTTTCTTGCTTCCTGCCCTCTGACTTTTAGAGGTGGGTAGCCCTGGGCTCCTCTTAGGTCTGGACATCATCATCCCAGCTCCAGGCATGGAGCCCACCAGTCACAGGGCAAGAGACAGTGGTGTCAGAGGCTCTTTATGCTGGGTGCCGTGGCTCACACCTGTGATCCCAGCACTTTGCGAGGCTGAGGCAGGAGAATCACTTAAGATCAGGAGTTTGAGACCAGCCTGGCCAACATGGCAGAACCTCATCTCTACTAAAATTACAGCAACAACCACAAGAACAAAACTGGGCGTGGTGGTGCACACCAGTAATCCCAGCTACTCAGGGGGCTGAGGCATGAGCATCGTTTGAGCCCAGGAGCTGGAGGTTGTGGTGAGCTGAGTTTGCACCACGACTCTCCAGCCTGGGCCACAGAGTGACACAAAAACAAAACAAATCAAAACAAAACAAAACAAAAGTCTCCTTAGATCCAAACTGGATTCCGGCCTCGGTCCCACTGGTCACTATTCGACTACTTTGCATCCCTCAGTCTCTGTTTCTTTAACTTCCAAAGGAAGTTAGCATTTTCCTTGCGTGGGTGCTGAGGATTAAATGAGATGATGCGTGGAAAGCATTAGGCATGTAGCACACTTGGCAGAGGGTGGTCGGCTCCCTGTGCTTTTCCACCAGTCTGTGGCCTACAGTTTAAATGGTGGAAGGAAGGACGTGAGATTTGAGGCTGGGGAAGGAGGCATGGGGTTCTAGGCAAGGGAGGCAGTCTCTCAGGCTGGAGCCCAGGGCCAGGCGCCTGGGCAGGCCACCTTCCTCTGTGGTCCCTCCCAGACCCCCTTATGCTCTTGGTTTCTCTGCCTTCTGATTCCTCTGGACCCTCACCCCTTCCAGAAGCCAGTGGTCAGACACCTTCATGACTGACAGGGGCACTCTGAGGCCCCAAGGGAAGGGGCTGCGCTCCACCTCCCTGCCCTGTCTGTCCTGTGTATGCCCCTACAAGAACGCTCCCCTCTTGCCTTCAGGTGCCATTTCTGAACGCTGCTGGAGCCGGTGCCCAGGAGGAGCAGGCACGGCTCTGTGAGCAGCTCCAGAAACAACAGGGGTGCTGCCAGCACCAGGCTGTTGGCTCCCTGAGGGAGCCAGAGGCAGCGGCCGCAGCCACAGGGACTGGGAGCCAGTGTGGGTGCGGGGAGACCCAGCGGGCCCTGCAGGGTGCCATCAACAAGCTGCAGGTGAGTGAGTCCTGGCAGGGGCCAAGAAGGGCTGGGGTGGGGCACGTCACTGCTGGGATGTGACCCCATTATTTCGGCTTTAGAATGACTTCATAGCCATCATGAAGGAGAATGTGGACCTGAAGGAGCGGGTGGAAAAACTAGAACTCGGATTCATCCAGCTCTCTGGAGAGAGAGACATGATAAGTGAGCAGGAGGCCAGGGCAGGGCAGGGGAGCTGCAGGGTGGTGGGAGGGGCCCCAGTGTCTGAGCCTGTCCTCCCGCAGGAAAGTCCATCAAACCAAATGACCATCAGACAGCAGTGGCCAAGACCCAGCACCAGAAGAAGAACGATGTTAGCATGCTGTCCGAGGCCGAGGAGGGGATGAAGGTAAGGTGTACAACATCTCTGCGGGGATGAGGGGGATGGGGGTGGACGTGAGTGTGGGTGCCGGCACCCACGTGGTAGCTGAGCACCCGTATCTCCAGGTGAAACTGCTGGAGCTGCAAGGCCCAGTGATGCAGCTTATGATCGACCACGAGGTCCAGCACCCTGCTAATGATTCCACCCCAGGGGCCCCAGCCCCCCAGGAGCTTGGTGCTGCTGACAGGGATGGTGAGTAGAGCCCTCAGGTTGGGTGGGCAGGCAGGAGCAGGGGAGGCTGGCACTGCGCTCAGATCCCCGCCTCCCTCTCTCCAAAGAATTTTATGAGGTGAGACCGGACAAGGACAGTGACAGCCTGGAGCCTACAGGAGGGAGGGTACACCACAACCCCAGTGCACAGCAGATGGCGCATGGCTTTGTGAGCTGCGAGACGGCCAGCAACACCGACCCTTGGGCAGCAGTGCCTCTATGCAATGATTTTACGGGGCTGCGGCGAAGGAGGAGGTAAACATCACCATCAGCTAAGAGCTGGCCAAGAAATTTACAAAGGAACTCAGTTATAGGATTAGTCTTCTACATGTTTATTTCAATGTTAGAGCCTCTCATGATGATGTGTTCCTAATTTATAGTTTATTTGTAAAAAGTTAAAGGACAGTGGGTCTTCATGTGGCTTTCACTGATGTTCACTCTGGCATCCTTTAGCATTTTTCGTTTTTAATTTGATAATCGTAGGTCATTAGCATGCCTATCGAGTTTGCCCTTATGTGGTGGGAGTTCAAACACACAAAGACCCACTATTGGCACAAAACCATTCTCGCTAGTTTCAAATAGGCTGCCATGGTTTTTAATGTTATTGCAGCATGTATATTCACTATGGAATTCAGATACAATTTGCTTATGTTCTGCTATGGTATTTGATCGAATCCTAATTACAGTGAGCTCTTAATTAGCTCAATATGTGCTTTGCCCTCACGTGCACACTGTTTATTACTTTGTAAGATGTCACTATGTGTACTGACATTTAGAGTTGTTGAAAAGCCGAGAACTGGAAACAGCCTTTCTTCCATTTTCTGTGCATTGCAAATGGGAGTAATAACATTTTCGGGAGCTTTTAAAATCTCACAGAAGAGGAAAGTGGTCTGCTCTGGCAGGTATGTGCACAATAGAGTATTTCATTCATTCCTATGCCAAGAACAAGTGCTGTGCTGTGGCAGTTCTTTTAGGATTTTTCTGTGTTCTGGGCTCATGAAGATATTGCATCATGAGCTGCGGCAACTGTACTGTTTTTTTTGATGACCTAAAAAGGGATGATTTCTGAGGAATAAAAGGCTTCCATCTTTGACTGTGGATGTGGAAAACCTTTCCTAGCTTAGAGCATTTATATCTATAATACATGATAAAGTCAGAGTTTATGTTACCTGTTTTAATGACATGGCTCTAAGTTTCAGTACACAAAAGGGCACTGGTTAGCATTCTTCTTAATGTATTAGTAAAGATCATAAGAAATCCTTTAAGATAAAGTAATGTATGTGTGTATATATATATATATATATATGTATGTATGAAAATTTGTATCTTAGAATGGATAGGCACTAAATATTGATGAATGAACAGTTAACGTTTTAGGACACTTGGTATAGTGCCTTGCATACAGAAAGAGACCATGGATGAGATTATCCTTTTGTATCATTTCACAGTTTTAAAAATTACTATTGATTACAGTTCACATATTAAGTTGCTGATAAAATGTCTGTTTTTATAAAACATCTCCAACAACAACAAAAAATATATCCTTAAAAGTTTAAATGTCCAGAAAATAAAATAAAAAATTTAATAAAAAATTTTAAAAAGTTTAAATGTCCCTGGAACAGGTATACAGGTTGTCAATAATGGACTAGAGTGCAGGAAAGCCGTGTGACACCTGGCATCCCTCTGTTTTCATGGAGCTTCTTTGAGGCTAGGCTGATTTGACGGTCCAGATTTCTCTGGCTAATACCTATACTTCAACCACCTTGGTTACTCTGACATAGGAATTGACTTCTTTTTCTTGAATAGAAAGGACTTTAAACAATAATCACAAACAAAAAATAATAATCACAAACATTATTATAAACTAATACATGTGAGAGAACTTGGCTGAAACAAAAAGGAGTTTCAGTAGACAGAATTGTACTATATTTGAAAATCAAGTTTATGCAACTTAAAATGTTTATAGACTGCATGCCATCTACTGTTTGCGAATGTCAATGTATTATCAGGAAAAGTGTCTGTACAATCACAGAGCTCTATTTCCTCACCAAGTTCTTTACCAAGAGTGAAATATGTTTTTGTACCTTTCGGTTTCAGTTAGAGGCATATTTTGTGCAAGATTTATGTTAATGTGCCTCTACATTATGAATGAATTATTTCAGTCAGACATTGTCTAAATCATAACTTTATGATGCTTGGGAAAAAATCAACAGTTGAAACTTCATGAAGTTCTAATGCCTGTGTGCCAAAATACGTCCCATTGTTAGGATGGAGGGACATATGTATGTGTGCTCCCTGAAGTGCAGATTCCTAGTTACTGACCATGTCCATGTTTAGCATTTGGCATCCTCATGATACATTCATAAAAATGACATTAATAGGAGAGCACTAATATGATTTTACAGATGGGTTAACACATTTGCCTGCATTCCCTGAAAGAGTGCAAATATTGGGTCCTGGTGACTTCAACTGACTCTTCCAACTTGTAGGAATTTATCAACGTATCAGATAAACCCAGTTTCAGAATGATGAATAAAAAACGTTTAGCTTTTTCTTAAATAGATGACAAAATACCTACACAGAGTGATATTTCAGTTAGTATAGAAAATGTGTTTTCCAGACTGACATTCAGCTTAAATACGCCTGTATGTGATTTACT